GATTTGGCGGGCATGATGGTGGGCTACCACTGCAGGATAGTTTTTACTGTAAATGTTCCGGACAATGGATCCAAGGTCGAGGTTGCGACACCCTCAGAGAGAAAGCAAGACAACAGCCGAGGTGGTGGGGTGAAAGGGTCCTACTCAGTGTCGTCTTAGTATCCAGGGAGTAGCCGTGCGTTAAACGGTCGGCTGAGTTGACTCGAGGATGCAGGGGCAATTGACGTTGCCGAATGGTTTAAAAAAGGGAAAAAGAACGAAGATCAGCACTGCCTGTGCCGGAGTCGCCAGATCATTGTACAGAAAAGAGAAAAGGGTAAGCAATTCAACGCGTGGATGTTGCGACACTTCGGCTGGCACTAAAGGACAGCTATGCGACTGATCACTAGCTCCACGCGGTGCAGCCGCGCTAACGTGCATTGGGCAGGCTCGTTCCTAGATTAAGTGGCGGTGCACTGCGCCATCATCCGAGTGAGCATCGAGTCCGTGTGCAGCGATGAGGACATGTGTTCATTGTTTCATTAAAATATATTTCTTGCAGAATAGAATTCTATAAAGTAATACCATTCAGAAGGACAGGGAGAGAGTAAAGATTATCCACATATCTCCGGACGAGGTTGTAATCGGCTCAGGACGCAAGTACGCTTCGAAGCATGCTGTTGAAACTATCGTTGAGCTTGTATAGCTCTTCGATATGCGGCTTCTCAGGCTCGCCTGCCTTCCTGCGTAACCGGTCCGCAGCTTTGGCTCTACTCTTGCGCTCAGCTTCAATCGGGTCTGCAACGTCTGCATCATCCATGTCTTCCGAATCGGTTGAATCGCTGCCGTTGTCATCAAGTTCAAGGTCTTGGAGATCCATCTGCAACAGTGTTAGTACGCAAGCGCGAATTTCATGGGTTGGTGAGAACAAACCGCGTTGAGGCCAAAGTCGCTAGACTTGAAGCCAGCAATACCGCCAATCAGTGGATCAGGCTCGTCCCCGCTCGCCATCTTCTGCCTCGTCTTGTCCGAGTGCCACTTCTTCCTGGCCATTTGCCACTTGATCAAACTATTGATCTCGCTAATTGCCTTTTCCTTGTCGATTAAGTTCGAGTCTATAGCGCCCCGGAAGAGTGCATTCATGTCGAGCTTACCACCACTTCCAGGACCATGGCGCAAGAAGTCCAAGATGCCCTCCAGCCAGCCCATAAGTTGGTCAAAAAGACCGTTGTCGTGCTTGTGCACTTCGTGAACGAACTTGTAGAAATTGTCCTCATGACGGGCGCACAAATCGATAAACGCTTGAACGGTTTGGTTGGGGTCAGCTGAGACTTCCTGTCGTTGGCATGCTTCAATCGTCTTGATAGTGTCATCGGCGAAAAGGGCAAAGTCAGTAATACTGTTGTAGACGTTCGCAGACTTGTAGACGCGAACCAAGGGTTCATAAAAGATGGTGAACAAATCCCGGAATAGTTGCAGTGTTGTCGGCTATAATCCATCAGTCATTGTTGGTGTAATCTTAGTTTTAGACAAGCTTACCTCCTCGATGATTTGAAGCATCATAAGCTTATCTCTTTGACGTAAGCAGAGCTTCAGGTATTGCTTAAGGTGAGCGAAGAGCTCTGCGCCTGAGCGCATTTCTTTTTCGACCTGATCGGTCGCGTTAGTTGATGTGCTGGTAGTGCTTCGCCGGCTAGCTGTTCGACTAAGCCGTCTCAATCTCACATTTTCGACTGCGTTGTTCCAGGCAACATAAGCATTGAATACCTTCTCGACCTGCTGCGGGCTCAGCTCTGGTTGAAAGTACTCTGATCGCAATATGGTGACCACAACATCCACATTCTCGCTCGCAGCCTCCTGACGGATAATATCCTTTACACCCTCATCAGCTTGCACGTATGCTTTAATCTTGTCGCAGAGCACATCGTCCTTGATCCTTGTTGATGCGAGGATGGTGATGGTCTTTTGCACAGAGTTAACGCCATCGTTGATAGCCATGCCAAATATACGCTGCAAAAGCGATCGAGCGCCGAAGGGCTGTGCAAGGAAAAGATCCAAAACTCCGCTCATGACGGCTGCCGGGTTGGCAATCCTGATGACGTTTTTTAGAACGCCGTATGGCACTAAAGAATGTATGCGTTTCGCCTGGGCAAAAAGCTCCGGGGAATTGTCTTCTGCCAAGAACAAGTGGTAGAGAGTGGCAGCAACTTCTATCCGTAGCCACTCGGCAAACTTTTGATACTCCGGTTTGAGTTCCCTGATACTGTTTTTAACCCTGATCTCCTGAAACAGATGAGAAAGTCCATTGCTCTCTACTATCTCTCGTCTGAACTTCTCCATGTGAATATCGAGCTCTGCTGCTCGTTGTCGTGCGACTTCGTAAAATTGCTTTTGCTCTTCTATGCGCCTTTGGTCCATTTCTTCTCGTCTCTGAATGTCCTCCATTTCTTCTTCATTGATTTCTATAGGGTCGCGTGTGAGAAACTCAGCCATGGCATTTGAGTGTGCAATCCGCTCATTGTGCAAGAATGATCGCAAGAACGCACGAAGGGAAACACGCTGCTCTTCTCGGTACAGTTTGCGAGGGGGTTTGTATCCAGAAAACTCCCCTGAAGGCCGTGGTGAACGCTTTCCTAGTGAGCTTTGCGATGCATTTTTCTTGTGTCCGCCACCAAAAATGTAGCTCCTAAGACCACCACCACCACCGCTGCTCTCATTGGATTCGATAGGAGGCGGTCCTTGAGTAGATTCCGAGGAGATGGAACTAACTTCGTCGTCATCGGCATTTGATTGTAGGATTCCATCTTTGGCATTCTTCCGGGGTAGCGGAGCGAGAACCTTGCCGGGCAGCTCAAGGCGTATCCGCTTGTGTAATTGAACGAAATCGGCATATCGACGACCAATGTAAATATCTTGGCCATGTCCTTGTCTGACACGTATAATGTACTCCTAGAGTTCTTATGTTAGACTTGTACCGTTATGCGCAGACATTGACTTACTGCATGTGTATGATACCGAAGGTGTCTCTTCACCGATGTTGTCCTGACGCCCGCAACGTTTACATCCCAGCCATTAATAGAATGACCGCTCGGCGCATTCATTGTGAGACCCTTTTCGTCAGCTTGTCGGTCGACGATTTCCATTTCTGCAAAGCGAATTCTCTCCTCGTAGCCCGACGCGGTCGGAATACCGGAGACCATCATGAGCTCGACCAACTTCTCGGCCTTGAGTGCCAGTTTCCTTCGCTTGGTCTCCTCGAGGCGGTCCTCTGAAGACGAAATGTCTTTGCTCGCGAACGATTCCAAAAACTAGGGCGGCACTGTTGTCAGCTCCCTGTCCACGGGTTCTGGCCTCATGCAACGTACGACTTGAAGTTTGTCCTGCCAGAACTCCTTTTCCTTGGCTTTATCCAAGAAGGGGAAATTTCGCACATGGTTGACAAAAATGTAGCGGAGGAGGGGCAGTTCAGAATCTTCGGGCGCAACTTCGCCTGCATCCGAGTGAAAGGGTGCGCCAAAGCGCCTCAAAGCCGTAGGAGAGGAAAGCTCGGATATTTCGTACTTTGTCTGTCTCGATATGAGTTCACGCTTGAGGTCTGCATGTTTGTTTAGTGACTTTGGGTATTATGTGCCTGGAAGAGGAGGGCATACAGTGCTCCTGCTTGCCGGTCAAGATGGAACCCTCAGGCGGCACGGACAAGACGGAAAACTTGGAGTAGCTGGTGTCATTGCGGGTTGGGTGGGCTGGCCGGTCCGGCTCAGTGAGGTGGCTTGCGGTAGTCTGGGGACTCATGGTGATGGGCTGGGTAGCGCCGCTGAGCTGAATGGTAGGTGGGGGGTTGGAATGGGTGGGCGTGCCTGAATTAATAGTAGTACCACCACTCACTGTAGGGGTAAGGCCGACCCGGGCTAAGGAGCTTCGACGCGAGCAAAGGGCGACACGGTATAAAAATGCGCATGCAAAAAGGTAGCCTGAAGCGATCTGGCGGGGGGGATCGACGCGTGTTTATGACGCCCGGAATAGCACGTCGCTGTGCTTGTGGCTGCGTCTGAGGCTGGTGCAAGTGTGGAGATGTGGGCACAGCAACGGAGGCCAGCAGGCGGAATGGGGCCTGCACCGCCTGCACCGCCTGCACCGCCCGTTGTTGCCCTTCAAAAGGGCTTCGACGGAACTGCAGCGAAGGTCGGCGGCGCACTCATCTGTGGCTGAGTGACGCAATCCCCGCCCACCATCCCGGTTACGTATGGGCCCGTCAGGATCCACGACGCTGCTCTAGGATGGCACGGCATCTCTGCGCCTTGGCCGCGTGCACAACTTCATTTCCCTCCTGCTCTGCTTACCACTCCCCATCCCTCATCTTACAACAGGATGGATTCCCCTCGCTCATGCTGACGCTGCATAGGGGGCGGCTTTGTCTTGTCACCTTGTACGCCTGGCCGGCCCGAGTCTGATCTCACTGGCTTCCACCATCTCATCAATCACAACCGCCGCATCGCTTAGCCTGCCAAAAGCTCTCCCTTGGCGGCGAGGATAGCCTTGTGCATGCAACAAAAACTGATATTGCACATGTCCTGCCCATTGGTCCAGTCATTGCATCTGTCTCGGTTCCTGGCGGGTGTTGGCTCCACCCCATGGCTGATGCCCAACCTGGTCACATTGCAGCTTTCTTCGCACCTCTAGTGCTCATATGACGATGCCCCCTGAAAACTTGCTTACCTACAATGACTCTGCACCTGCCAACCGGTTGTTGTGGCTATCAATCTGGATTTGGGCTTATTTACTTAGACGTACATACACAATCCCCCCATGGGCCTAAACAAGCCCAGACCACAGTCAATGATGAAACATTCTCAAGACACCGCCCAGTACCTATCCTTCCCAAGCAAACTATCAAGGCAATCTGGGGAAGCCTTCAATCAGGGATAACAGAGAGAGAGAAAAAAGCAGCCTTGTCAACGCCGACCCTGTTACCATCTTACACCGTGACCGTGGCTGCAGGGACCCCACACTAATTACAGAGCTTAGTAATTGAGCTCTCCGCCGCCGCCTCCGCCAACCGCATCTAGATCCTCGTAACTCTTAATAGATCGACCTTGCACAGACTGTACAGGTCCAGGTCCACCTTCGCCGTAGCGTTGAGGTCCGGGTCGCGTACCGCGTGGAGGTGTCAGACGGCCGCCGTTAACAGCCGGTCGACTACGTCCATCACGAGCCTGTCGGTCGTAAGGCCCTGTACGGTTGTTGAAGCGATGGCCGCCCCGTCGCATAGGTCCTGCACGGTCATCATGAGCAGCAGCAGGGTCCCAGGTGCCGCCCATGGCAGGATTGAACATGCCGCCCATGTGCATTCCATTCTGCATTCCATTGCCTCCCGCCATCGCCATGCTCATGTTGGCCAGGTTGAATCCTCGCGGAGTTCCAGTCGCCTGAACATGGTTACCCATTGGGAAGTGGCCGTTGCTATTGGCATCGCTGCGCGACGGCGCAATGTGTGCAGGATCGAGAACATAGCTATTCACAAGGCGCAGCTGTATTCGAATTAGCAAAATCCAACCGTTAGGATAATCCCCACAAGTACTTACGTCCTTCTGTAGTTGCTCAAGCCACTCAGGATGACGCTTCTCAATGTGCTTGCGCCAGAAATGTTCGCCCTTGAATAGCTTGGTGCACTCTGGAACTTTGCATCGCCACTTAGACTCGTCTTCTTGCTTCACATATCGAGCAAGCTCATCTTCTATCGCTTCATCCAGCGGCTTGCCGCCCAGCTTGCGAATGTCAACGTTTTCAGGCTCAAGCAGCTGAAGGAGCTTTTCTTCATATGTCTTGACCCAGTTGAAAGCCCGCTGCAGTTGCTGTTGGTTCTTGGTGCTCAAACGCATAGGTTTGCGCTCTTGTACTGGACTTCCACTCTCTCCGTTCTCAGCCTCGCCTGACGCTTCTTGTTTCCTGTAAGGGAACGGTTCTCCGGAAGCTGTGGCCTTTGCCGTCGCCTTTGCAGCCGTAGTAAGACTAGCACGTGGCCGGCGAAGATGTCCTCCAGCGCACTTGCGAATCAACTCATGGACAGAGTCGCTCTCAAAGACGCAGAAGAAGCAGAAGTTGTACACCCGGCGCAGGTATTCAATCAGCAGATCCAACTTCTTCTTCTTGACCAAGAGCTCCTCGTCATCAACTTCATCGTCAAAGGTGCCCTCATCGTCCTCCATTGTTTCATCTTCACCTTCTTCCAATTCTTCTGGGTCTCGCTCCTTCTTCATGGGGGCCGGTGCATTTGCAGGAGGCTGAAGCCAGCCCTTTTCGCGCAGGTCCTCGACCCGCTGCTCGATTTTACTAACGCCGTCAACATTCGAGAACTGATCCTCGTGACCGGCCTTGAGTTCAGAATCGAGCTTCCTGACTAGTCGCTCGGCAAGTTCAAGATCACGCTCGATTCTCTCAGGCGCAGAGAAGAGATCCCAGAGTGCTTTCTTGCGTGGAGCGGCAGGTGGCTCATGGATACCAACGTGGCAGGTGAAGTTGCCCCTGACCTCGTCGTTTACTGTTTTTCCGTTGAGCGCTTCGAGAGCCTTGTGCGCAGTACTCTGTGTCCCCTGAGTAACTTCGGGCTTCACGTCCATGGCGCCTTCTTCGTCATCAACGTCACGTCCGTCACCACGATCGTCAATGATCATTGGCTGCTCGTCGCTTGGATTGAGAATGACCCAGCCGATGCGGTGGCACTTTTTAAGGGGGTTTGGATCGCTCATGCTAAGCCACTTAAACCCACCAGGGCCCTCTCCCAAGTGCTCCTTGCAAAACTCCTCGACTTTCTCGCGGTTGACAGTTGGCGCAATTGTCTTGATGAGCAGCGTTGGTTGGAAAGCGGTCTCGTCGCGAATCTCGCCGCCTTTGCATGGGAGAAGGTCGCCCACACCTAAGACTTCATTAGCAGCTGTTGTTTCTCCCTCTTCCTTCTCAACAATGCCGCCAGCTCCGTTTGAGTCATTCTTGTAGATACCCTCAAGTGTGAATTCATCAAAGTAACCATCGTCAATCTGGCGCTCCCAGTCCTCGTAGATACCATGGCGGTACTGGCGAAGCTTCTCCTTGAATGCCAAATCGTACTCTGGGTCATATCGCTCCTTGAACCATTCTTCATTCTTGTGCTTTTCAACGAATGTCTTGGCCATCTGCACCTGCAGCTTCTCCTTGTACTCATCGTAGGCTGCTTGGATCTGCTCACGTTCTTTGCCGCGCTCCTCACGGGCTTCGCGCTCGCCTTTGAGACCGGGCTTACGACCGCCATTCTTAGCGCGTTCTTTCTCCTCTTTCATGAGTTGCTCAACGCGCCACCACTCGGCGAAGTAGTTGAATCCAACCTGATATTCGAGATGCATGGGGTTCGGGACCGGGTTTGTCGTAAATGTCGGTGCGAAGTTGTCTTGCCCAGGCACATATCTGTCAATGCCGGCCTGTACTGGCGGAGGAGAGGAGCGGCGGCGATTTCCATCACGTCGGGGTCCATCGTAATCGCGGGCACGATCGGGTTGGTAACGGTCGATATTCTGGGGGGACCGCGACCGCCGCCTGCCAGTCCTGCGGTCTCCAGAGCCTTTGGAATGCATGTTAGCCAAGTTTCTTGGAGATGGTGCAGAAGGTTCCTAAGCTTGGGAGATGAGTCAACGCGACGCCCAGAGCGATGAACTCTATGGTAGCAGCTGCACGTCTTCGGACCGCGCAATCAGGCGAAACATGGAGTGTGTAACGATCGCGTTCGAAGACAAACGCGCAACAAGAGTAGCGATGTGCAGATCCACGATACGATAACCGAGAGATGCGCGCTGACCCCAAACAGGAATCTAGAACCTACCTGGTGAGCGACGCCTGTATGTGTCGGCAGGCGGTCTGGCCTCCTCGTGAGTGGCGCTGTCAATTGTCAGCATTGCTCGTCGCGCGACGGTCAGGCATGAACCTACGTATACGAATCCATTATTTCGGCTACTTAGATTTGGGGTGCTTCGTGGGACGACGGGTGTCTAGAATCCTCGGGGAAGGATAGAGGTATTCAGGCAGTTGACAGGTAGCACTGTCAACCAACCATAAGCGCCAGACGCGTGGTCTTTGCTCTCTTAGACGCGCAATCTCGCCGGGAGAATGCGATGGGGTATATCGGGTGCTCGACAGGCAATCGGGCTGGGTAGCTGTTTGCCATGATGGCTCGGTCAGAGAGGGAACAAATAAGAGACAAGACGGTGAGAAAAGGGCGCGACTAGTAACGAGGGAGAAGAGGCATGTAAGGAGTGACAAGATGAGGATGGCTACCACAGACACCCGGCGCGATTGATCGCACACGAGCAGCGGCGCACGTAGACAAGGTCAGAGAGGTGGCTGGAGGGAGGCCGAGGCGCAGGGCCACGGGGACAAAGCAGTAGGAGCTATGGAGATAGCTGTACAAGAGGAATGACGGGGTACGAACAATTGGGGGGGAGGCAAAGGACGAGAAGCTCGTGCACTCACGATGTGCTAAAGTGACTCCCGGCTGAACGACGCCGGCGGAGATGGAGATGACAGAAGGAAGGGTGAGGTTGGTCGCGGCGGCTGGAGAAGCCCGAGGGCGGCTGAGACGGGGCTAGCGCCGCACGGCTACGCGGAAAGTGGGCCGGCTCGTGAACGCGTTGCTCTCGTGGAGGGCCGAGGCTGATGATTGGCAGGCCCGCTTTATGCTCGACGCCCAGGTTATCACGAGATGCGGAGTGCAGCCGGCTTTTCCTTTTCCACAGGCACCTTTTCCCAGGGCCATTGCATGCTTTGCGCAGGTACACGTTGATCACACCCCCCTAGCCGAGCCCCAGCGCAGCCATGACGACCTACATCCCCTCCCTCACCCTCCCAAGCTTTGTCTTTGAAAACCCAGCAGTGTCCATCCTGCTGCCGGTCGTCTGCGGAACAGCTACTGGCTTTGTCATTAGTCGTGAGTCCTTCACCAAGCTGGTGCAATTGGGAAGAGCTCTAATATTGAAAATAGCAAGTGTGTCTCAGACAGCATATCGTACCTTGAAGCAACCTCCTCTACATCCGCCAGGCTATGTCTTCGGCCCGGTTTGGACAGCATTGTATGCAACCATGGGCTACACGGCCTACCGCGCATACACCACTGGAACATCCTCCATGAACCCTAACACGGTTGCTCTTGCCGAGGTATGTTACCGCTCAATTGAACCATAAATATGACCGCCCAACTTACCAACATGCAGCACGGAGCTACCCTCTATTCCATCCAGCTTGCCTTGAACCTTTTGTGGACGCCTCTCTACTTTGGCATTGGTCAACCTATTGCTGCTTCAGCTGACATCCTGGCTCTTGGTGGGACGATCGCCTATCTTATCAATGTTTGGGGACAAGTTGACCCCGTCTGTGGATGGCTGCTCGCGCCATACCTTGGCTGGGTTAGCTTTGCAACCTATCTCTGCGTAAGGGCTCTTGTGAGAGATGCTTGCTGAGCGTGATACTGACATTTAACTAGATTGGTGCCGGTTACTTGAACAACTGGGACTTCAAGGCTATTTCAAAGAAGGACTAAAACAAAGCATATAGCACGTGAACGAGGTGGCAGTATACTTACTAATTAAACAGCCTTGTAAAGCTCATTGCTTTTTTCGGATGTCGTCGCATCAAATAATCCCCGCTCTGTTCGCGTTGTCCACGCCAAGAACAGCCGTCCTGCTGTATCATTAGTATCCTCTGTTTTTCGGACACTAGGGACTTTTATAGGCATTCAATCCTAACTCCAAAATTTTCCACACAAAGAATCGTAGTACTACCATCCTCATACATGTCACTTGCCACAGGGAACATGCATGCAATCAAGAAAAGCAGATCTCGTGACCCATCTCCTCCCCGGTATCTTATCGAGATGGCGATAACCTATTTTTAGCCGCCCCTGAATTAATATCCCTGTTGTTATTCCATAACATCACAAGTCCTCACACTCACTTTCCATTGAAACTATGCCTGCCGATTGGACCCTACCCCACAGCCTCGCCCCCATGTTCTCTACAAGTCCTAAGCGATGGATCCTTTGAAGCGGCTGAAGCGGCGCCTATCTAAGCGTTCATTCCCACGCGCCTACGAGCATTCTGCCCACTCTTATGAAGACGATGAATCTGACACCGCGTACGTGCACTTTTGTGGTGTTTGCTTCCATCTGTCATGTATGCATGCACTTACTTACATAATCCAGCACTATGATCGAAATCGAGCAAGACTCAGGTTTCCTCCGTCTTCCTGCCAACGTGCGGGAACTAATTTACGGCCATGTACTCGGCGGTACACAGATCCGCGTATGCGACACAAGGAATTGCACCCGCCGTCACAAGTGTCGCTCTCGCGGACGAAAACTTCACTTCGCGACTTACTTTCACCTCCGGAGACGGCGTTTAGCCCTACTAACAACCTGCCGCCAAATCCATGCAGAGACAAGGCTCCTGCCGTTTGCACTAAATGAGTTTCATGGATATCATTGGGATATGCAACTTGCTGTCTACTACCGCCTGACGGATGCACAGGTCGGTGCTATGACGAATCTTCGCGTGTATTTTGAATGCAACGATGTGATCTACTATCCGGCTCTTGGCCGGCGAAGCCCGAGTGTCAACCTTGGTAAAGATGCTCTTGCCACGTTGCGTGTCCTCGGTCATCTTCGCGGGCTACGTAAGCTCACTGTTGAGTGGGTTGGTCCGCACGATTGGGAGCATGACTGGGATATGGTGGAGGGCAGGATGGCTTATCTGATTGAGGAAGAGCTCGAGCAGATCAGGGGTTCATGTGATATTAAGGTTGTGGTAGTGGGCTGTGATTATGTAGAAGACCTCGATACGGGGCCTGTGCCTGCGGTGGGTGATATGCCGAAGCTTGTGTCTTTTTCGGTGTAGTTGTTGCAATCAGTTGTCACTTGACCTGAGCTATGCACACAGGCCTAAGGCAACCAAGGACACATTTACTGCAAAAGGCAGCGTATCGCGGTTAATTTTTATTTTTCGAAATCTGAAATAAGACTTGAGAGATTCTGCTCAGATCTCATGGGTATCAGAAGCCCATTGGACTTAGCTATTCTCAATAGAATCGATCTTTGTGGCAAGTCTTTGTCTTATTAGAAAGACAAATCTCAACTTGCTGATATTGTTAATTCAGACAAGAAAATAGCACCTGTGAAGAGTGTCATTGGGTCAGTAGACAGAAAGTCCGACACCGCTATCTCATATCAGACAAACGCAGCCCACAATACAAACAAACATGAACCCGAGCAGCATGGAACTGGCAGATACAGCAAAAGTAAAGAGGACTCTAAGATTCTGGGACCTATCAGTGACTTGGTTTGAGGCCTTGCCACACTGTTCAGAGCATCTGATGACGTCTCCTTCCTAACAAACGACTCCCATCACGCCTTCCCTGCCAATTCACATCGCAGACAAGCCACTCGACAGACCCTATCTCACCTCTTACCCGCCTTAATCACCATTCACTGCTTCACTGCCATTAGCTAAGCACAAACGCCCACGCACAATCTATATTACTTGCCTCCCTCTCCCCTCCGACCTCCCTCTCCCCTCCGACCTCCCTCGCCCCACCACCATTATCCAACATGGTTCCCCGACCAAGGGCCCAGTCGGATCCGCTCCATACGCATGAGTACCGCTACCATGTACAGTTGATGTACCTCATTCAACAAGTGTAAGTATTTACAAACCCCCCCGCTGCCGCATCGTGAAAAACAACAAAAGACACTCTCTCTGAAACCCGACGCACAACTAAACAAACCCTCACTTGCACAGCTATGAGCGCAACCAGGAGTCCTCTCCCCTTCTGCGTCTTCCCGCCGAGCTGCGCGTGAAGATCTACAACTACGTCTTTGATGCCGACAGCATCAGCCCAAAGTACGAGACGCAGGACCACCGCACCTGGGAGTACCCACGCTCCAACCTCTCACTCATCCAAACCTGCCGCCAAATATGGGCAGAGACCAGGCTGCTTCCCTTCACCCGCAGCGTCTTCAGCGGCTACTCAGAGCACGTGATCGAGATGCTGTGCAAGAACCTCACGCGCAGTCAAGCCAACGCTATTTCCAGAGTGAGTCTCCTCGTCGACGCATTCGCCATCTATCGAGATGGCAAGATCCCTCACTCTGGCCTCAAACCATGGATCATCTTTGAGCTCAGCGACTTGTGCACATTTGAGGGCCTCAAGGAGTTGGAGCTAGTTTGGTTCGGCAGCGAGATTGAGCCCGTTCAAGTGGCATTGCATGAGCAAGTCACCGAAGTGTTGGAAAGATCAGGCCGCACGGATATCTCGCTCACTGTTGTTCCACTTCCTCCTCCTCCTCTGACTCCAACGGACTGATGGAGTATGGAAAGAACGTCCTTTAGACTTGGGAGGCACAGTTGGCGCATGGAAGAAGTTGGCGCTAGGAAGGACCGGTATGGATAGAGGTCACTATCATCATCATCATCAAGTACAGTGAGGAAGGACTGGTATAGATAGAGAGGTCACTGCCAACGTCAAGTACAGTGAGGGACATGGAAGCATGGGTAGAGGTCACTGGCATGCACCATCAAGTACAGTGAGGGATGTGGAAGCTGATGGCTAATCATATCACCACCACCAGCTTCACACACATAGAAGGGAATCAGAGATTTGAGGAAGTCAATTGAAGAAATATCTTGTCCAACACGGCCCATATATACAAAGAGAGCAACCGTGAAGTTACCAGTGAAGTCTACGTTCCTAACTCATCATGAAGCATTAAAAGCGTATCCCGACAAAGGAGAGAGAGAGAGAGAGCAAAGAACCCTGCGCCATGACTGTACAAGAGGGAAAAGGATAAGAGGTGACGCTTGAACGCATGCAAGAGGCGGCTTGCGAGAACCAACAAAAAAAAAGAGAAAACTAGGTAGATAGGTAGGTGAGAGAAATGGCAGTCGCAAGGCAAAAAAAAACAATGAGAATATGGTCAAACTCCCATAAAGCTCCAGAAGCACCAGTTCATAATCATTAAGCGCAAAGGAAATGAAAAGTTCCTCTCTTCTTTTTTTTGTCAAACTTCCCTTAAGAAAGAAGCGATAACGCCCAAAAGGAAGAAAAGAAGGGGACAAGCGTCAAAAGGATGAGCCCAAGGAATGCAGAGAAGGAAAAAGAAGAGACTGAAATTGCAGAAAAGCGAAGTATTTTCAACCTCGCTACTCGCTCTCCAGCAACTGCCGTATCTTCTCGTAAAAACTCGCTGGATACTGACGAATCTCATCATCAGTAGGCGCGGGCTTATTCGGGTCTCGGAAGCGATCCGCAACGCGCTGAATAATCTGTCCGAGCAGCTCCTGCGGAATCTTGAGGTCCTCGCCGCCATCGGGGTACAAAAAGGGATCGCGTTCGTCCAGGAGCTGTGCGATATTCGGGCGACGCGAGGGATCGCGGTTGAGGCAGCGGCGCATAGTAGCTTTGAGACCTGGGGGAACGCGAACATCGCCGACGCCGAGGTCTGGGAATTCGATTTTGTAGTCACGGTTTACGATGGCGAGGACGCGGGCCATTTGGTTGGCGATGTGGGCGAAGGGGGGGCGGCCGTAGACCATTTGGTAGAGGATGCAGCCGAGACTCCAGACGTCCGAGGGCTTGCCGAGAGCCATGTCTTTGGAGCCGTTGCCGTTGCTGAGGAGACCGCGGGCACCGCCGGCAGAGTCTTCGAGGGACTCGGGGGACATGTAGTTGGGGGTGCCGATGTGCGAGTCGCGGTGGACATTTACGGTGTGGTCGACTTCAATGGCGTTGGCGATGCCGAAATCGATGAGCTTTAAGCGGCCGGAGGTGAGGAGAAAGTTTGCGGGTTTGAGGTCCGAGTGGACGATGTCGTGGTCGTGCACTGCACCGACGCATTCAAGCATCTCTTTCCAGTAGTAGCGGGTGAAGCTGAGGTCGAGTTTGCCATCACCATCGGCGGGGTCAAGCTTCATTCGTATTATGCGGGCCAAGTCTGATTCTCCGAGTTCCATGAGCTGTAGTATGTTAGCATTAAAATTTTGACTCCTGACAAAAAGTCACTTACTACACTGAGCACTTGGCGTTGCTCGTCCACTTCCCAATCGTAAAGTCTTACAACTCTGTCGACGTTCTTGAGTTTTTGTAGTAGATCAATCTCGCCCTTGAAACCTCGTACAGCAGCCTCGTCGGCGTCTTCAAGCTTAACCCTCTTCAGCGCCAAAGTCTTAAAGTTCTCTGCCATGACACGGTACACCGCCGAACTGCCACCTCTGCCTATCCTGTCCATCTGAGAGTAGTGCTTTCCATTGACGGACAGCGTAACTCTCTTCTTCCTCTCTCGTGTCTTGGTGGTGGCAGCTCCAGCAGCAGCGGTTGCGGTCTCCAATACAGACATCTTTGGCGGTGGTGGAGGCGCTGGTCGTCGTGGGGTATTTGCGCTCATTGACTGTAGTGGTATGGGTTTTTCTTGTTGTTGCGAAGCCCTTTCGCTAGGTGACTGGTGTTCTAGGGAGGATTGCATGTGGCGGTCCTCTGCGACCTTCATGACTGAGCCAGTAACCTTCAAGACGGAATCGGGGACGTTCTCAGGCTGGTTTTTGATGGCCGACGCAGGCATATTCTCCTGGTCCTGGGAAGGAGGGTTCTCTTCCTCGCTTTGGGGTGTTCTGCGCAGTCTCCTCATGGGTGCACCCCGTAGTGGAACTCGTTTGATGCGTAGACTGGGCGCAGGCGTGACGGAGTCATGCACGGGTGTATTTGAGCCCGAATCATTGCGTGAGATTTTGAGCTTAGGCTTCCTCTTCTCCGGTGAATCAACCTCGTTGCCTTGGGCAAGTAGAGCTGCCGTCAGAGCACTGAGTTTCATGGGTTGTGGCATCTCGTCATCTGAGCTGTCGCCAATGTCGATGCTCTGCATCATGGGCACGTCGGCAGAGAAACCCTGCGATTGACCCAGCATAGAGAGCGGAGAGTCTCTCCGGGGTCGTATCGATGATTGCGCACGCATGCGCCCATATGAGGAGCCGCCTAGCGGCGTAGGAGATCCGGTAGCCATTTGAGAGTCGCAAAGGGATGATATGCGCGCGTGGCTATAAACGTGTTTGTCGGGTTATGTGAATAGCGATTGAAAGCTGTAGTGTTAGTTGCGCATACATAAGGCCCGGAGGGAAGGCGGCTGTTTGTCGTAGAGATGCTGGGGGTGGTGGTTGAGTTTGGACGTTGACATCCATAGCGCGCGCCGGCCAATCCTAGTTCTCGCGTGGTCTGGTTGCCGGGCAACAAGAACGCGGCAGTAAACAAACAGGCCCAAAACACCTAGTGCGGGACTAGTGGGAACTGCTGACGAGCACCAGGGATTATACAGTGTGCATTTCACACCAGTGCAACCTTTAAGGTCTAATACATACTTGATGATATGGGTATCCATGGAATGGCTTTGCCCTGGGTTTTGGTTCCTGCAGCGGAACGGACAACAGCAGCTTCGAGGCAATGCACATTGAGCCAAAATGTTGATTGTCTTTCAAGTGCTTGCTTTTTCCAAATGCACCTCAGCAATGACTATTTTATACATATTCATTTTTCGGATTGGTTGTGGTAGTTGTGCATTTGTGCCAGTGCAAGCCAAAGGATGAGAGTGCCATGCGGTCTTGTAGAACTGTCAGCCCAACCATGGTTTACTCTGTCGATATGTCATGACTTGAAAGCAACAATATATTTTAATTCAACAGTTTGCATACATCGTGATAGTAATAACGTCTTAGATACTAGCCCGTAGCCTCCAAAACAAACATTGCGTTACTTGATACCCCAGTCCCCTCTCTTCTACAACATCTATCCAAAAGAGAAAACACGCTGTAGAGACATGAACAACGACCCAATCATATATACCAGATTGAAAGGCTTGGTAAAAGACACTGCATAGCTAGAGCCGCCAATGAAATCGCCTCTCGTGAGTGTTGTATGCAGTCATGCCCCGGTCCCGATTGTGCAAGTCTTTCTCCCTAACGCCATGGCCTACTCATGCATCCAAACGGTAGGTCGTACAAATGATCACAGCTTTGCTCGTGGAGATGCCTCCTCGAGCACAACAGCTACCACGGCAGCAATGTCATCCGGTTTACCGCCATGCCAGTTCTCGCCAGGGTAGTATCGTTGAACCTCTCTGGCAAAAGGCCCGTCCCGGCGAGTGTTGAGTCCCGTCACTTTAGCCTCCTTTGCGATTGCAACTGCGACCTTTGCTTGGAGCGAGGAACTGTCTGCCTTGCGAGATGAGTCGGCCTGTACCAACTTTGCTAGGTTCTTTCCAACCACAATTGTGCCATCTCTCTCGACCCAAGCACCTAGGTCGACCATCTGACGGCTGACAATGCCTAGCACATCCTGTGGGCTGAGATTATCCCACACACCATCGGTTGCAAAGACGAGGACATCTCCATGCCGTACTTTATGGTGCGTTACACTCGACTCCTTTGGTAGATCCGAGAGTGTGGTTGGACCACCAAACACAGCCATCTGCACCAGCATGCGTTGAGGCGTTTTGGAGAGCTGATAGGGAGTGTTGAAGGCATGTGTTTGGGGCTGTGTGAAATGTCGCACGGCGTTTAGACCCAGATGCATGAATCCTGAGTCGCCCAGGTTGGCAACTTCGACATGGCCGTCTGGTTCTGCGACGGCCAGACATGCGGTGCTGCCGCCACCCTCAATGCTGGCGTCATCGGTAACTTCGTCGTACGCAACTTGAAGCAGATCCTTTGGGTGTAACGACGTCGTGTTGAATCCGTGCGGCCATGAGCGCGCTGCGCAGGCCATGTACTCGCACAATCCATGAGAGAAGTCTGCGGGATCCAAGCCAGACTCGACCCAACCCCCGACTCCGTCTGCAACTCCAAATGTCGTGGTATCAGTGGTTCCGACTTGGCTGAAGAAGAAGGCGTCCTGTCCACTCTTTGCTCGCTTCCGCTTGTCGATGGCCTCTTTGCACTCGCGCAGATCTTCAATCTTGCTTTTCCTCGGGTCGTAGAGCGGGCGCGTGAACAGATTTTGCTCTGCGTCAAAATTGTCTTGCTTGGCTGAGTAGGAGGCAGCTACATGGTAGGTATATTGCGGCATGCTCCGCCAATTGTGCGTGGAAGAATGGAATGATCGTAAGCCGACTGTGGCCGGGGAGGTGTTTCGATTCAAGGGACAAGTTGGGGGTGTGTGGGGAGGCATTCGCTGCAAGGGGACGCCGGGACTGCGGCTGGTCGAGGCAGGTGCTACCAAAGGCGATGCGGAGAGAGCAAGGAGAAAGAAGCCAGTAGATGAGGCGCGTCGCGGTGCTTGTGAAAGTCGCGCAAGGCCCGCTGCACTGGTTATCGCAAATGACA